TTGGCTTTTTCTTCCAGTTTTCTGATAATCTATGATTCATCCCAATGACAAATAACCCTGGCCGAGCGCAGTTTAATCGCTATTAGATGACCGCTCAATTTGATCGAGAATTGAACATGGTTTAACTGATTAAACAATGGCTTTGTTAGATGTAAAGTTAGATCAATGCTGAACTCAGCCTAAAGCACAGTTGTTCAACCGGCCTTTAAAGTGGCAGTTTAAGCACGCCTGATCAGTACATAATTCAGTATATAGAATAGGGATCAGAAAAAGGAATTTTTTAACAGAAAAATGGGTTGTTTCCAACTTCTAAATATTATTGTTTTTAATTTTTCGCGATGTCTTTTTAAATGTACAATTACGGTCCTGAATTATATCATATTCGAACCTATGACAATTCCAATTACTATTAACGCGATCGGCTCTTTAATAGCTACCTACATTTATGATGATTAATCTATGAAAAAAAAAACCGCGTATGATAGGTGATAGAATGAATTTTAACCGTGATGCTTTAATAATAATATGGGGAACGTATTAGTTAACACCTGTTATTTTTATTAACAAGTGGCTTTGAACATTTTATAACCACATCAGCAGCATTCCCTTTGATGTTAAGTAATGACCTAGGCAAAAAATATGGTATTAACGAAGAGAGGCAGGGTAACCGTCACTTAGCTGACAGGAGCGGAACAACCATTTTTTACGATTCATTGGTGCCATTTGTGGTAATTGAATATTTATTCTTATAGATCGATAAGCTTGTGATTACAATGGCAATACTTAAATTTCAGAGACTTATGCCCAGAATTAGGTAAAAATTAATTTAATGCTCTGCTAGAATTATTTTCTGAAAAAGCGCTTTTCGGTTAAATTCTTCCCTTACTCTCTATTAAAGCAAAAGCTTGATGATCTTTTCAGTCTTTGAAACAAAACAAAGATAAAACACAGTCAGAAGAATTGATTACTTGCAAGGATTTTATTTATTTTCGCGATTGTGTTCGGCAACTGCTGATGAGTTTATTTGTTTGGTCTTATGGATCTTTCATGTTCTTTGAGCCTAATTGATATTTTTTGTCCGGTCTCTTCAATGTATTCATTGCCGCATATGCATGGAATGCTTTAAACTCCTAACATCTCAAATGGAATTTTGTCTTCTACCAACAAAAAATCCGGGAGTCTAATAGAAATATATAAACAACAAAACAACCTTAACAAAAAACACCCTTAACCGCGACTCAGTTCTTTACCTGTCCCCAATATGGAAATCAGTCATCCGAGACCAGGTACAGAGTAAAATGCGAACCAGTTTCCGTCAAGCTCTGAAGATGCCAAAAGTTTGAAGTTTGTTTGACTCAACAAAAACCGACCCAGGAAGAATCCAGAAGCTTTCTAAAAAGTATTGAAAAACAATGTCTTTGTCAAGATTTATATATTATTAAAAAAAGTCCTGGACCAAATAATGTTGTCTGCTTGATAATTGCAATGATTAAGTACACTTTGAAAATATCTTGTAAAACTGTACTTAATTTTATACCAGATTATTCTGACCAATATTTACTTCTAGAATTTGTGATTTTTTATCGATACAAATCTACTATTTTTTTTGTATCGATTTTAATGAGATCGACCTACGATCAAAGTATCAGTAATAATTTTCTGCTTTCTTGTTACTTGTTAGAAATACTAATTCTATTTGATCGTTTGAGTCCTGTTCACTTGCTAAATTCGTCAAGAAGTGATCGGGATTGTTTATCACTAAGTATCACAGGGAGTATAACAGCACGGCCTTATATAGCGGATTCAGCAAGTAAATGAAACGATTGATTATTTTTTGTCAAACTATGGCAACAAAAATTTTACCTGGTGTTCCGACGCTGTGATTATCGCGTTCCTTAAGCTGTCTCATTACCTAACCGGCCACTTAGCGGGATTGATTGAATGATTACTTCTGCTGCTCTTAAAAAGATGTATTGATATGCATTGATAATATTTGCGTCCATGTTATTTTAACCGAACGGATGCTAAATGAATTAATATTTAGCTGTATTGGTCGCTTGAATCGAACACTTAAAAAGCGCTTTGAAGTATTTGAAAACACTTTAGCGTAATGAATGAACCGCAATGAAAGTTTTTTAAATAACTCGAGAAGGTTTCTACGGGATTACATTTTGATTTTTATCGGCCATCTTTAATCGTTTGCCTTAATGAATCGGTTCCAATAACATTGTTAAAATAAGAATGAAACTCATACGTTTAATATCTTTCTTTTGTGTACTGCGGGCAAAAATGTGTCAGCTTTAACAATACCTGTTGTTAAGTTATATGCTTATAAAATTAAATGAACGGTGATTTCACACCTCATCAAAAATATGCATTTTTTAGGCGTACGTGGTTTGGTAAACTCGCAAATTGCTTTTGGTATTAAAAAAAGAAAAAATACCTACCTAATGCAATGCTTATTGACGTTGAAAAAGATTTGTTTTGTTAATCTATGAACTGTGGAAATGTGACTGTAAATAGTAATAAATTGTAATAGTAATATTTGTACTAATGTTTAGTTACTTTATGTACCAATTTGCATATTTGTACTTTGATTGCATTGGCGCGTCACTTTTGGTCTGTCAAGTTTTTGGTAAACGCCACCCACTTCTGTGTTATGAAATATGATAAGCAATAAGTAATTTGTTTTTACTAGTTACAAATTTTCTGGATTCCTAATTAATTAGTCGTCAAACAATCGAAAATGTTGCATTCGTTTTGTTAGAAAACGATTTTTTTTGGAAGTACTATTCAATAATTTATTGACTCAAATGATTGTTTATATAATTAATACCTCTTAACAAATAAAAAAAAAATCAAACCTACCGTTTCGTAATTAACTTAACAAATTTCATAGCTTTCGGGAGCTTCCACCATCCAACAAGAAGCCAGGCATCATAATATTAATATATGTGAGTTACCATCTCTACAAGAACCTATCTATAAAGGAAAAAACATTTTTCTCAAATGTTTCGTTTGTGTCAGTGGATCTGACCTAAATTTTAGAAAATTTATTTGGTATTCGTGTGGCCTTTGAAATTTTTAATTACCGTCCCGTTTTCAGTGCTGATATTAATATTTCTGATCCAATAGGCTAAAGTTGAAGAGATGAAGGATTCGTTAATGATTAAAAATGGCCTACAACTGTCAGGAGATGTTAAAAGATTATATTCATATATAGATATTCTCGGGCCTATTACTACTTTCGTTGAACGCTAAATCTCGAAAGGTATAAGCGTAAGCCGTTGTGTTTTGATGAACAAATTGAAGTAAATTATTTTTTTTATTGCTAAAAACATAATATATTTTGAAATGAAACGTGAGGTGAGTAACAATATAAAAATAAAAAAGTAACTTCCGTTGTTAAGCCTTAGGCCTAGATTTGTATAATTTTGACCTATTAAAAAAAGGCAATATTTTTTGTGAAGGGTAGCAAAACTTTCTTTTTTTTCAATTTCTTTCATTTTTGAATTTCCTTTAAGGGCACGCAGTGTCCCCGCGTTCCCCTGCAAAAAAGGCCTGGATATAGAGCACGAGTATATGCTCGTTTCTAAGGAATATTCCATTTTGTTTGAATGTTATAACCCATATTTAAATTAAAGAATAAAAAAAATGTTTTTGGGGTTTTCGAACGACAACTGAACAGACAGTTATTTGTAACTTGTTCTGCATGGAGAAGAGAGAATTTTAAAATATGGCCTGCAGAAGCAAAATTAAGGAATGTTATTGTTTTTTTTAATGATAAATTGTTACCCTTTATTTTTTGCTGCAATTTAATCGGCTTAATTTTTCCTTTTCAAATAAAAAAATGACGTTCAATTTAAATAACATTTTCATTGTAACGTAAGAAAAATATTTATTCCTTTTTAAATAAAAAAAAATGTCTTAATCCTTTTGTTTGTTCATGTTCTTTTAACTTTAAAAAAAAAATGTTACGTAGAGAAAATAAGTCAGTGCCTGTTCCGCCATCATTGGGGAACCCGGTTTAGCCTTGTGAAGCGCACAAAATATAAAAACTTTTTCAAAATTGTCTCATACGTAGAAATATAAAATGGAGAATAACGTTTTAAAATTTGTACAATTCACTCAATGGCAAATTTCTAGTCTGAGGCAAATAATTAAAATGAAACGAATATAACAAAACATCTTGTAATGCTCTGTGACTTTAACCGCCATATATTCTACCTAATTAATGTTCGACCAATCAATTCGTTTCTGCGGCACATATTAAAGGTTTCACTTGCTACGCCCATCGACTCCTTATGCGAAGCCGTTACGCAATCGAAAGCAATTGCAAAAGTTGGACATACATCGACTACCAGCTTTCCTCTTCAAGGTTCCAGCATTCAAACGGGTGTGGATTATCGATATACACATAATAGGATCCCCTCAGCCGTTAAATAATAATATCGATGGAGATTTCTGACATTAATGAAGCGGTAATTATAATGTTTCGTTTGGTTGCCCGTTGATTTTATTTTGCCATGAATAAGTTCTTGGTCCAACATAGTCCATCAAAATAAAGCCGCTAAGTATAAAAATATTTGCCGTAATTTAATTTTTATGTTTTAAGTTGGCATTTATAGGAATTTCTCTCGTTTCGCTTGCTATAACTTTATTTAAGAATTTGCATTAAAAACCTGATATCAAATTAAGCCAGCTTACGAGGAACCAAATCAGTTTCCATTAAAAAATTTGTTTATAATGTTATCTTTAAAAGTTATTGCCTAATTAAACGGGTATATTAAAGGCACCTACTTAAACAGAACAAAATTTAAAATAAAACTTTTACGTACAAAAAACAAGTTCGGTCTGCATTAATTTTGCATTAATATGCTGAACCGCTTGAGAGTTACATAAAAAAAAACCGGCAAGTACATCGCAGTTTTAATTTTATTAAGTCATTAAGTTTGATTTTGGGTCGGAATGATACAAAAAACTTTTCAGTAATGGTCTTTATTTAAACACTCTTAACATGATTCGCACAAAATATGACACAATATAAAAATAATATTTTAAATAAATTTATTTAGGTAACAAAATAAAAGTTAAATTTTTATTTTACATTTATAATATCTATGAGGCAAGTCGTGTTTTAATGTTTCTATTTATATCAACTCAGTTCTTTTTTGTACCACTATTATATTACGATATTTCAGACAGAATAACATAATAGGTAAAATAATATAATTGTAGTATTATGTCAGGTTTAAAAGGAATTGTTCTAATATATCGCGTCAATAACCTAAATGCACTTTATGATTTTATTATTATATTACATATATCTCTGATGGGCCATTTTCCGAATTTGATGGCTACTTAAACAAACGAACTAAAAATGGCGTATTTAATCTTAAGTAAAGAAAATTAAATAATCTTAATTTCTCGAATGGGTAAATATGTCTTCTTTTTTGTGATAGTTTTTAATCGTAAGAATGCAGTGAATTTATAAAAGTAACGTGAGATAATCGTTATTTGATATTTTAATACAATTAGTTAATGTGCTTTAAATTCGATCAAAAATCGTGCTAAATAATCTGAACTACCTACGATAACGTTATTTCACAAGAAAAAGCTATAAAATTTTTTCTTTAAAAGAATTTTTGCCTTTACTTGAAAAACATGCACTAATATCGTTAATTTAAAAAAAAACTAATCAAAAGAAATTGCTTTAATCACAAACATAATTGAAAATTCATTACCACTTCTAAGAATAGGAAATATTTTTTAAATGTGAATCTTTAGCTCATCTAAGCTTAGTTACCAATTAAAGCGAACTTTATCACGGTAACTCGGTCTCTGTAGTATTTTTAGTTTTTCCATACAATTATGGAAAATTAAAATTAAAATGAGGCGATTTAGCACAAAACATGTAAAATGTTTTCACGTTGTTAATAATTTTGTTTCCTTTCTTGAGAGAGTTAATAAATTTAACTCGCGGAATAAAATTAATTACATATACATTTGACAAAAAAAACTAATAAGCGGACAAACAAATATTTTCGTCGACAATGTTGCTCACTGCCAAATGAAACTTTGCAATTTTTTTTTCAAAAGATAACCCAATTTTTGTATTTATTCGGTCAATTACCTCGACAGAAAATTGTTACAATTTCTTTGCTTAATTAATTAATATTCGCGTTTAAATTCGCTGGTGCAATTAGCATTTATTTTTGCATTAAAGTAATGCCCCGATAAGGAAAATGGCACTCGACCAACACCGATTTTAAAATTTCGAGTTGTAAAAATTTAAAAATATGCCAAGGCTCGAAACTGCTTAGAGAACTTTTATGGATTAAATGCATTTTTACTAATACAGTAAAAATTAATATTTGGGAGAGATACACCCATTCTTCCTATGCAGTATCGGATAACTTCGTGAGTTATTGAGGTTTTTTATAATTTAACAAAAACGAAAATGCACTAATGTTATAGAAATTCGGAAGTATTTAAATTCCGTTTTGACATTTTAGTTTTTTCACATTATAGTAAATGTACAAGTAACATTTATTGTCTATAAACAAGCAAGAACAAATTGTTCCGTGGAAGAGGTGAAACTAATATTTATAACCACTCGGGTGCCTGCAAAATTTTAACTTACAAAAATTATTACCTGCTGCAGAGTTTCAATGCATTCACTTCATAATGAAATTATGGTTCTAAGTTTTTATATATTCTTTTCGAACCAAAATATCAACGAAATTTTGGTTAGTTGGCCAGGTAAAATTTGTTGCCATGTATTTTTCTATTAAGTTAAGTATACCACCATTTTTAGTCCAATTTCTAATAATTTCAGGTTATTGACACTTAATAAAAAGATGTTCCAAAAATACTCGCGAAGTATTTATTGCACAAAAGTATTTCATACCAACGCATACCTAATTTAAATAAGTAAAATATCACAAAAATTACAAATAAATAAGGCCTGGGGCTTTATAACATAATCCTAGACACTAATTTTTAGTGACATCTCTCTTATGCCGACATACGAAACACAATTATCTGCAAATTGCCGCTTTATTTTTGCGAATGCCCGCAAAATTCAAATCCCGCAAAAACTCACCTTGTAGAAGGATCAATCGCAAATTATTCTAAAATACTGCGCAAAATTATAGTGCCCATAAAGTCTCAGTTACGTAAACGTTACGTCAGTAAGAAGTCGTTTAGATCTGCCGCCTCCAGCGCATGTTCCGTGAAATCGGTGTGCAGCAGAGCCGGTAGTGATGGGTCGCTGAAATCTACGGGCGACAATGATGGTTCTAGGAAGTCCGGCGATGCCAGTAACGAACCGGAATGATCCGATAGCGACAGAGACTCTCCATCTGACTCTAACAGCAAACAGTCCAAATCGGAATAATCGGTGCTAACGAATTCGCTTTCCATCGGATTGTTCAAAGCTGAACTGAGCGCGTTAATATATTTCATTGCTAACCTCAGAGTGGTGATTTTGGTTAGTTTTTCGTTGGACGAGGTGGTGGGTGCTTGCATGTGAGGAATAACCATTCGAAGGGTTTCGAACGCTTGATTTATCTCTCGCATTCGGTTTCTTTCGCGTGCGTTTGCCGTTTTGCGCCTGTATTTGCTCAAGGGTGCTGCTTTCTGCTTTTGCTTCGCATGGGATTTGTTTATTTGTTTCGAATGCGTTTCCAGTTGAGCTTCTTTCGCGAGTTCAGTAATTTTTCGCATCGATCTGGGCCTCAGCGAATATTTATCTTCTTTCGGACAGCTAGCATCGCTATTGTTGTTGTCGTCCGTAAACGTCGCTTCGGAAGAGAGCCGCTCCCGAAGCTCGCTGTAATTTAACAGCGAGTCCATAGTGTCGACAGCGTTCATAACATGGAAAATGGAAAAAGAATTCTCATATCAGCGTGCAATTCGTTCCGTTTCGTATCATTTTGAGAGCTTTCCGCCAAATCGCGCGAGGTTCGTCGCCTAATCGACTGTCGAAGTCACCACGTATCACCACGAAATAATTGTCATAAAAGCACTATTTTGTTAGAGTACGGGAAAATTGTTAACCGGCCAAGTATCCTTAACCATATAAATTTACGTAAGACTCGCGGACGGGTCTCGAGGCAATCTGCCCGTACGTGAACTGAAAGCAAATGCTAGACGTCTGGCCAGCGACTGACTGAGTCAACCGGATCGAAATCGTGGGCATATTACGGCCGGGTCCCCTACCACGAGAGCACGCGTACCTCTATAATGGTTATAAGAGTGGCCAACCGAGCAACGATGATGAATTGGGGATCATTGTTGTGAAGGAGGAATAAAACGGGCGATAAAGATCTTTTAGTGTAAATGATTAAGAGCTCAGAGATATGTTTGTGTGCTCGGAAGAAAGGTGTCATTTAGCGGTCAGCGTTACCCGTTGTCGTTGAGAGCTCGATGATGGTATAATAATAAACTGTTTCTGGAGAAATGTTTTGAATGACAACTTCGACATCTAAGACTCCTGACCCCCGTTCTCATAAATTGGAGACGTGAATTCGGGTAGTAGTGTTAATAGCATTAACGACAAGAAGCTATGTAATAATAACAGAAATAACAATAATCCATTTTTACTATTTATTTCATCCTGGGTCGGTTGTTGACGAAGAGAAATTGCTAGCAAGTTTGATTTATTAACAACAAATAGTGTCACAGTAGCTTATAGACATTTCTTTCAAAAATTAATTTCTACAGTTCAGTTCAGTTCAGGGCTTTTCTAGTATATTGATTCCTTATAATAACTATATACGATTTTTGTTTTCGTTTTGATTGGGGTATTGTGATAACTGTTTTCATTATATTTGAATCTTTTAAGAACTATAAAATATGAGCTTGAGCGGCTTGCGAAAAGTCAAATTTGAAAAATAATGAAAAATTGTTATAGCTATAATAAAACTTGTTACAGCTATGTTAGTATTCTTTATGAGGTTATCACGGTTATTAGTAAAATTTCAATTCTGAATATTCCTGGATATTTCAATTGGAATGATGTCCAGAAATGCTAAATATTAAATTTTGTAGTGTACACTAAGAATAACGGAAACTATAAAGATCGTAGTTTACACTATTAGACCATCCTAAAAAACACAGACAGGATTCCGAAAACAGCAAACCTCCTAAATGTAATAAAATAAGTGTATTTTCATTCATGGCATGCATGGCAATATCAGTGATTGTCCCTTTTTTCTCCTCTTTATTAATGAGGAGAATATCTGGTCTGTTGTACGCGATCGTTGTATCTGTTAGTACTGGACAATCCCAGTATAGCAGATGTAACCTATTCTCGAGAAATGATTTTGGTTCATATTTGTAAAATGCAGGCGTATCTTTCGACAAAAGTTCCCATTTCAAGCCCAGTTGTTGATGTATGATTTTTGCCAGTTGATTCTGCCTTCCTAAATCTGCTCGTGCGCTACACCCACCCCTTATGTGTTCTATTGATTCTCCAGTATTGCTACATTTCTTATATTGTCGATTGGTGTCGATTTTCAATATATGTGTTTCATAATTTCTAGTTATTAATTAATTAATTAATTAAATGTAATGCTCGCAATACAAGACAATGGTCTTGTATTGCGAGCATAAAGTCCTTAGTTTCAGGATCAAGATAGCCCTTATGAAGTCACTGTAGTGATAATGTTTTGTCGTTGAATTTGTTTTCGAGTGTTAGAGGGTATTTACCATGAAGTGCTTTTTCCTTCCAAGTTTGTATTTCCTGATCTAGTGTTGATATTGTATCGGTTACTATTGGAAAACCTAGGGGATCGCCCCGTGTGTGAGGCGGGGAGCTCTTGAAGCCTGGGCGAGAGACCGGGCCGCGGTGGGCTGGAGAGTTGCTCCGGGAATGAGGCAGTCGCGGCTTATGATGGATGGGCCCGCCCTCCCTCGGACCAGGGAGCTGCTTAGACTGACCAGAAGGGACTGTAGAGCACTAACAGAGGCCTACACAGGACATTGCAGGCTTAGGAGGCATCTTTGCTTGCTTGGCATTGGAGACGACCCGGAGTGCAGGTGGTGCATGGAAGCGGAGGAGACCCCGTATCATCTGCTCACCGAGTGCCCCGCCTTGACATGGGCAAGATTGGGAGTCTTCGGAACAGCCCTGATCGATCCGGACTCAGTGCACGGTATTGGGCTAAAGGAGTTGCTGACCTTCTATAGGAGGGGCGGCATTCTAGACGCCCTCTAGAGCTGCCCGGGGGCACAACGGGCCCATCTGGAGGCCTAAGTGCTTGGACGCCCGCGAGGGCGCCCCCCTTTAATAACAATACCAATAATACCAATATTGGAAAACATAAGTTGAGTGTTGTGAAGTTTTATCAGCGCTTCTTATAGATTGGATTATATGGTCTGGGGATCCTTGTAATTTCGGACTAATTCTAGAGACCTCATTTTTCCAAATTTTGCTTATATTTAGCACCTTGCCACCTTCTTTTCAAGGGATATAAAGCCGTGATGTTGATGAGTTGGGGTGTAAATACCTGAATTTTATTAATATATGGCGAGTGGTCCCATTTAAGACTTCCAAGTCAGTATTGGACCATTTAACTATTCCAAAGGAATGTGTGAAAATAGGTATCGCCCAGCTATTAATTGCGGCGATGACGTTTTTGTTGGTTAGTTCGGTGTGCAACACTTTAGTAATCCTTTTTTGTATTGTTCAGTGAACTGCTGCTTAAGTTGGGAATGGTCTACTTTCATGTTTTATGGTATACCAAGATATTTGTGTAAAAGGCCGGGTTCTAGGTCTGCGATGTCTTCGAAAGATTCTTCTTCTTTTTCTTTTTCTTCTTCGTTTTCTTTTCTTCATGCCTATTGGTGCGCACTTATTCGATCCAGATGACATCTAAAGATCGTCACTGAATGTTATTATTATTATGGTTATTCTTTAATTCACGCAGGTAAGTCAAGATTCCAGTGTCGGTGAAGTGTTGTCACAAATCACTGGAGTTTTGCGTCTAATGTTCTATTGTGATTTTTTGGTTTAACACCTTTCGCATTATGTTGCAGGTTGATAGGATAACTGCTTTCTGGAGTTGCGTAGAAAGGGCTTTCTGCGGCTTCCATATTCCGTGCTAACTTCGTTGGATTTCCCCCGTCGCTCCAATTATAGTGGGAATAGTCTTGATCGCCACTGCACCCCAGGTCTGCTTCATGTCCTCAGCTAGCGACATGTATTTGTCAACTTTCTCCTGATGTTTCTTGTCAATGTTAGTGGGGCAAGGTACGGAAATGTCCACCAGAGTAATATTTCGATGGTCCTTGTCATATATCATGATGTCTGGTCTGTTGTGTTGTACAGGTCTATCTGTTTGTATTTGTTCCAGTCTGCCTTTTATAAGGCCGAGTTTGTGGCAAATCTCGCTGTGTATTATTTTTGCAACGTTGTTGTGCCTGGTCGTATACTCGCGCGGTGCCATCATTTTGCATCCACTAAGAAGGTGTTCTAGGTTTTCGTGGCCCTAGTCACACATACGACATCTTGTATCGGTTATTCTTTCGTCCTTAACGATGTATTTCAGGTAAGATTTTGTAGGGATGATTTGATCTTGAATTGCACAGAATCCTTCGGTCTCTGGGAATATGTTGCTTCATGTCAGCCATTCCATCGTAGCTGGGGCGTCGATATATTCGCTGCTAAGGAGGTGTGGGTATCTGCCATGCAATTCTTTCTCTCTCCATCTGCTTTGAAGGGTGGCGGTATTGTAATCTTGGTCACATCTGTATTCCCTATTTTTAAGGTTGAGTGGCGATATGCTTCCATCCATTTTGATAACAGCTCTATGCAGCGCCGAGGACGTTTCTTTACCACAGAAATACCGTCTGAGTATCTCCACCTGACTCTTGTGGCAGAGGCGTATGTCAGTTATTCCCTTTCCGCCTATCGCTCTAGGTAAGTGGAATCTCTCAATGCAAGCTTTGGGGTGATGTTTGCGGTATTTTGTGAAACAGACTCTTCTCATGCGATTGAGTTCATCCAGGTCGGTTCGGGTCCACGGAACAACACCAAAGCTATACGCAACAACTGGGACAGCATAAGTATTTATAGCTGTGATTGTATTGTGCGCCGAAAACTTAGTTCTGAGAATTGATGAGGCTCGATGCTTGAATTTTTTTACCAGCTGTCGCTTTACTTCGTCCGTTGCAATTCCTCTGGCTTGGGCAAATCCAATTTACTCATATGTCTCGTGCTTCCGCATGGCCTCAATGGTCTCCCTTCCCGATGCTTGAATTAGCCTATGGCCATCCGACTCTTTCCACTCTCCCCTTCTTATGCAGTTCGTCTTACATTTGTCCAATCCGAACCTCATTCTGACATCGTTAGAGAAAATCTCTATGCACTTGATCTGCTTTTTAAGGCCTTTTTCTGTTGTTGAAAAAGTTTGATGTCATCCATGTATATTAGATGATTTAGCGTAATGTTGTTTCCTAAATCGTATCCATTTCCTATGTTCCTCAGAGCAGTCGCGAGTGGGTCCCCTTTGGATCCTAATGGTTATTTTTTCCTTTATTATTATATTATCCTTTATTATTATTTTTATTATTTTTAAGGTTATTATTATTTCTATTATTATTATTTTTTTTTATCAGTCATCAGACTCACTAATCTCTAGATTAGTTGGGTAATTTTATAATTTTCATTTGTCAAATCGCAACAACTTTGAAATTTGTTTTTACTCACAATGCACATAATGCACCTTTACTTTGCTGAAACACAACTATTTACCAGTATCACTTATTCTTCGAGAATAAAAATATTAGGGGAGGTAATCTTCGCGAAACATATTTTGTCGTACATTCATAATAACATGTCTCAGAGAGGTATTGAGTGTACGCTAAAATCTTTGTATCACATTGCTGAATGGAACTCGGTAATTACTTATTTTGTGGTTTGTCGGCCCAAGCTTTACAAACCTTTCGTTCTGCCATTGTAATGAATTTTTCCATTACACGTACCGCGTCGAACATAACCGTGGACATCGAAAGAACAATAAAGAAGAAATTTTTATCTCAATAACATCTGAATGTATAATCAGGAGGCGATTGTCGGCTAACGGCTCTACCGGATGGTTCGCTTAAAGTGTATAGAGAGTTGACTGTTCCCAAATCGATCACAAAAATGGTTAGTCGACAAAATAATTTAATTTCACTTTGAAAGCTTTACAAAAGAATGTTTGCAGGAATATGAGGTACAATTTTAGATAGTCGGGCATTCGTTTTGAGACGTTTAGTTTTATTAGTCGAAAAGAATGAAAACTTCAATTATTGGTAAATGTTCAAATTTTCGTCAATTGAATGGATTTTCAACAGTTGTTCAAAAAATGTGCTCTTAATGATACGTTCGAATTTTAGTCGAA